CTTATTTTCAGGGTAGGGCTTATTTATTTACGGTACCGGTATGTACATTGAACCCCCCCTTTAATTAATCCACCCTCTCTAATTAATCCACCCCCCTCTAATTAATCCAGCCCACCCTTTAATTAATTCACCACCCCTTGAATTAATTCACCCCCTCTAATTAATCCAGTCCACCCTTTAATTAATTCACCATCCCTTTAATTAATTCACCCCCTCTAATTAATCCAGTCCACCCTTTAATTAATTCACCCCCTCTAATTAATCCAGCCCACCCTTTAATTAATTCACCACCCCTTTACTTAATTCACCCCCTCTAATTAATCCAGTCCACCATTTAATTAATTCACCCCCTTTAATTAATTCACCACCCTCTAATTAATCCAGCCCACCCTTTAATTAATTCACCACCCCTTTAATTAATTCACCCCCTCTAATTAATCCAGCCCACCCTTTAATTAATTCACCACCCCTTTAATTAATTCACCCCCTCTAATTAATCCAGTCCACCCTTTAATTAATTCACCCCCTCTAATTAATCCAGCCCACCCTTTAATTAATTCACCACCCCTTTACTTAATTCACCCCCTCTAATTAATCCAGTCCACCATTTAATTAATTCACCCCCTTTAATTAATTCACCACCCTCTAATTAATCCAGCCCACCCTTTAATTAATTCACCACCCCTTTAATTAATTCACCCCCCTCTAATTAATCCAGCCCACCCTTTAATTAATTCACCCCCTCTAATTAATCCAGCCCACCCTTTAATTAATTCACCACCCCTTTAATTAATTCACCCCCTCTAATTAACCAGCCCACCCTTTAATTAATTCACCCCCTTTAAGTAATTCACCCCCCTCTAATTAATCCAGCCCACCCTTTAATTAATTCACCTCCTCTAATTAATTCACCACCCCTTTAATTAATTCACCACCCCTTTAATTAATTCACCCCCTCTAATTAACCAGCCCACCCTTTAATTAATTCACCACCCCTTTAATTAATTCACCCCCTCTAATTAATCCAGCCCACCCTTTAATTAATTCACCCCTTTAATTAATTCACCCTCCTCTAATTAATCCAGCCCACCCTTTAATTAATTCACCACCCCTTTAATTAATTCACCCCCCTCTAATTAATCCAGCCCACCCTTTAATTAATTCACCCACCCTTTAATTAATTCACCTACCCTTTAATTAATTCACCCCCCCTTTAATTAATTCACCCCCCCTTTAATTAATACACACCCTCTAATTAATCCAGTCCACCCTTTAATTAATTCACCCCCCTTTAATTAATTCACCCCCTTTAATTAATTCACCCCCTTTAATTAATTCACCCC